CCATTCGTCCCTTGATGGGCACTTAGGTTGCTTCCAAGTCTTGGCTATTGTGAATAACGCTGCAATGAACACAGGGGTGCATGTACCTTTACAAATTGGTGTTTCCGAGTTCTTTGGATAAATACCCAACAGTGGAATAGCTGGATCATATGGTAGTTCTAGCCTTGATTTTTTGAGGAATCTCCATACTGTTTTCCATAGTGGCTGCACCAGTTTGCACTCCCACCAGCAGTGTATGACTTCCAAGTGTTCTAACTCCTAGTACAGAGCTCTTTGCACTGTCCCTGAGCTGCTAAAACACTACTGTGCTTAAGAATCACCTGGGAAGCTTCTTTAAAATATAGGTTCTCAGGGTTGCACGCCATGAGGTTCTGATTTAGGTGTTTCTGGGATGTAGCTCAGGGATCCAGCCGCCTTTTTAAAAAGCCCCCAAGTCATTCTGATTCAACCATTTCTTTCTGGTCTACACTTTGAGAAATGCTGCCTCCTCCCCTTACATTTCGTTGGAAAATGATAATGTGCCTTTCTCGCTGATAGCTACTTCTGGGTGATTGGGTACCAGCACTAGCATTCAGTCTGGGCTTAAACATGAACCACTAGGAATGTCCTACTCCAGGTAATGTGAGCTTGAACCATAGAGAAATCTCATTGCATTGCCCGTCTGGTGCTGGGCACTGTCCCCAGCAAAGAGGCATCCAGCAGAAGACAGCTGCTGAGAAAGGCTTATTCACACAGAGCTTGGACAGCGTGGGCTGCCTGGTGAGCCCTCTGCTGGTTGACCCATTCACACAAAAAAGTGCTTGTGGCAGTCTCTGTGTTAGGCGATGAGGACGAAAGGCTGCACAGACTCAGGTGCAGACCCTGCCCTCAAGGTACTTACAGTCTGGTGGGGAGACAGACGTTAATCAGGCAACCACAACCGCACAAGGAGAAGCAGTGCCCAATGCATGACGGGGGTGTGTACCCCAATCGGGAAATCAGAGGGGCTTCCCTGAGGAGGAAACACCTGAGCAAGATCAGAAGAAAGAGTGGATGTTAGCTAGGCGCAAGGTGGGAGAACTTCCGTCATCCTTGAGGGATCTCGATGAGTTTCCTTTATTGATATAGAAAAAAGCCAAGATGGAGAAAAAGGAGAGACGTGGACAGCATGGAGCCAGTTGTATTTCCATATCTGGCAGGGCTGGTTTATCACACCCCAGGCCGTGGTACCCTGAACACCCCATCTATGTGCCTTTGGGTACCTCCTTTCGTATGGAGGGGCAAAGGGAAGGGGTGCTTTTAGAGGCACAGGGAGCCCGTGTCACCCATCCCTCTTCCGCCCTGTCTCCTGACATGCGCAAAACCCATTTCTTGACCTGACAGACAAAACAAGTGTTGCTGGAAGGGCAATAAATGAGAATGGGCCTTGGGCACATTCACGGCATGAGACAACCAGTATCTCCTCCTTGGAAATTTGGGAAGAGAAACTCCTTTATTCCTCTTTACATAACCCCAAAGCAGACGCTGGCCCCTGATCCACTTTCTGAAACTGTGGCCACAGCCCATATATTACCCAAGGCTGCAGAGGAGAGGAAAGGGCAGGCAAATTTCAGAATGTTGGTGTGTGCTAGTTATTTCCTGCCTCAGCCCCACAAAGTCACTCAAGAGAGGGATGGACTCAGACCGACACTCACCAGGTGACAAGCAAAGATGGAAGGAAACACTTCTTTCCTAAGGGAAGTGGCTGGTCTGCAGCCTGCAATCTAAGCTCCCTGCAAGTCCCATTTTTTTTGGAGCTCTGCAGGACTGAGAAAGCCAACTGCTTC